GGGAATAGTTTTGGTTTTTTAAACGGTGGTGTATTAATTGCCCTTCTTTGTATTACTGCAAGTGTATTATTCACACTAGAATATCTCATCATATCACTAGGATGTCTTAGTTCAGATCAATCTCATATGCAATATATAATTACAGGTATGACACAGGAAGGCCTCTTCAGGGTAAATGGCAGCATGAAAATGGTAGAACAGTTGCGTCTGCAATATGAGCGTGGAGAAGAGGTGGAACTTGTTAAAGATGGTGATGTCTACTCAGCAGCCAGTCTGTTGAAGTTATTTTTGAGAGAGTTGCCAGATGGGATTATCACCTCTGCCTTACATCCCAGGTTCATTCAGCTTTACCAGGGTAAGTGAGAGTTAAAATCTCCATCCTTCAGTGCACTTTCTTTCTGGATAATTGGTTATGCAGTGAGCATAACCAATACTCTCTGTTCTTAGTTTACTTAGTTTGTTCTGCATTTCCTTTGACTTTAGCTCTCACCTTCTCCCGGAGTGCTCACAGCTGTGCAATTCTGTTACAAGAGACAGAAAATTGTTTCTTCTGTGTTTGGTAAAGTCTGGACTATTTATGATTTTGTAATCCAGTTACATCTGCTGAATATAAACTGAAATCATCAGCTGGTTTCTTTGAGCAAGCTTGTAGACAATAGCTGCAGTGTCTTTAGGACACAGATATATTTCTGTTTTGCTAGGGTGATTTCTGGGAATTTCATTCTAACGGACCCTGAAAAGTTATAACAACTTCATCTGCTAATCAAATTGAATATCCATGGAGCCTGAAGCATACACTGTCTAAGTTTCACTTCTCACTAAGTAATGTGATTGCCCATCAAAAAATGAGCCAGTTTGGAAGTAACAGCAGACTTCACCTTTCATTCCCTGTCATAGCACACTTCAAGTGGTGGATCAAGCATAAGAACAAACATCACTGCTGCTGTGGAAAGTTGAATGTTGCACAACTGTCTGTCAAATGATTTCTCAATCTAATTCATCTGTATCAGTCCATGTTGTTGTTATGTGGAATAGGTGTTGGTTGGCCCTGTTCCTTGAACATGTGGGTCAGTGGCAGTTCTTTGCTCTTGCTGCAGGTGATTGATGCTTCTTCTTGCTGTCTTCCTAAGAAGCTGCAAAGTGAGTGGGTAAATGTTACTAGAGATGTGTTCTTTACAGTAAAGCAGGCAAATGTGATGCATGATGCAGAGGAGGAACTTGCGCTCTGACATGCATCCCTAGCGGGAGATGGTGCAAAGTTCTCACAGGCTTGTCCTGAGGTCTGCCTTCTACTTTTCTTGCCGGCAGTGGAGATGAAGTTTAGCCATTGCCTGGAGGAGGGAGAACACGACCATGTGTTTTCTTTCTTCCCTATTTGGGGCTGTACAGACTGTTGAGGATGCACTGGAGAAGAGCTCTGTACCCCTCCCTTGAGTGCAGGCGTGTCAACTGTAATCAGGTTGTATGTGGGCTGTGTAAAATACTGTCCTCATTTAGTAAAGTTGTTTGGGACCCAAGGGTAGAGTTCAGGAAGTGTCGTGTAAATGCCGTTGATTTACAAAGTCCCTTTTTTCTGGTCATCACTGTGCTTTCTTTGGGTCCTTTAGATTGCACCAGATCTGACTCATGAGCTATATTTAATTATGTTCTTTATCGTAAATAACTGTTTAAGTGGAAATTTTAGGTTGCACCTTTGCTGTTCTACATCCCTGTCCCCACAAAGGTCTTATTGGTATATTGCGCCAGGAACTACTGATGTACTTTTTAAACAGCGCTGTTTGTGGAAAGTGTAATTCGTTCCTGCTTCCCACAAAAAATGCAAAATCCCCCCAGTACTTTCTATGGAAATGAGGTAGATATCCTAACTTACCAGATTTACATACCAAGCTTTCTTGTTTCAAAAAAAAAGTTACTGGTGTAACTTAGGAACCTAGTTCTGCAAAAGTGAGTCTGACTCTGATGTGTCTTCATAGCTAAGTTTGCCTCTGTTGCACAATAAGCTCTGGTTATAGTCCCATTGTTATTTTGATTAGGAAAAAAAAAATCTTATTTGAAAAATGCCAGATTGACTGTTATGGCAAGGGGAAAGCTTTTGTAAAGTTTGAAGAAGACTGAGATTTTTTTGATGCCCTGGAAAATACAGCATAAATGCGTTGCTATGAAAGGCACTGATGACTTTCATGGGGTTCAGATTAGCTTAAGTGGTAGATGGGTCTTTGTTTACAGTTAAATGATCAACCAGCTGTGCAGAGTTGGAGAAGTTATCTATTTACTTATCAAAGCATGTACAAGGGTATTTGTTGCAAAATGGTACCAAGAGAGCACATGCCTGGGCATTCTTTTTGTAACCTATGGAGAAAGTAGGTCAAGCTGTTTCTGAGCCAGCAGGTTGTTAAAAAATAGCTTTGAATCTGGAGCCACTTCGCTTCATGTCTACAGTAAAGGCAATTACAAGCTCTATTACAGCCTCTTGTATTCCCCCTGTTGAAGCTTTGCATGGGAAATGGTTTTTTAGGATTATGTTACAGTTCCTTTGGAATAGTTTCAGAAATTGGTATCAGCATTTTTTTGAGCCAGCTGACATCTTGGCCTGAAAATAACACACAATTACTTTGCTTCCTATGAAAATTGTTAGGGAGTGCTTCCTCTAGTTAAAAATAGCTCAGCAGAAAATTACAAATTTCACCTGTAGCTGTAACCCTTTTTAATTCCAGGTGTAGTCTTTGTTACCAATCCAAAGAGTAAATAATCTGCCCTTTTATGAAAAAGAGAGAACCTGACCCATTGGTAGTTCAGGAAGTCCAGGCAGCTGGTTTGGCATGCTGTCTGCAGCCTGTGCAATGTCATGTGAAACACAGCTCCGCACGCTGCCCCCAAATCCTGATGCACTGCTGTTTATATAAATATTCAGCGTAATGCCAAGACTATGCAGTTCCAGAAGACATCATGTACCGTATCCTAAAGGCTGTTTGGTGTGTCCTGACGTTCTCTCTCTGCCCTTGGAGAAGGGCAGTGGCAGTGGGAGCTGAGAAGGGCCTCCCTCCCTCTGTGAACGATGTTGATGGGAGATGTGTGTACCAAGTGCAGGCCAGGGACACACTTGATAGCGATCTTTGTGTTGGCCGATCTCCTCAGAGCGCCTGACAAATATGAAGGCTGCTCCTTGCAGGGAGTCCTGGGGTAAAAAATGTCCATCACAATCTCTTTTGTGACTGAGGCTTCACTGCAGAGCAGAGCTGTACCTGCCCATGCAAGATGGGCCATGCTTACAGAGCAGTGAAAGTTTCTTTAGAAACCTCAGCTGGAAGAAATCAGCAGCTCCCATACAGCAGTCTCTGCTTGAGCTTGTTTATTCCTTCTGGCTTTTCATTCCTTATCTTTTATATCATGATCACTGACTCTTAAGACATTTGAACATATTAGGAACTCTATTCCCTTTCACAGGTGACTTGCTTTCAGCAAGCCAGGTTGCTATTGTACTTTCCCTTTCCAGCATAAAGAAAGCTTTTCCCTTATGTGAATTTGTTTTTTGTCGTTGTTATTACATTCCCTCCTCCGGAGAAATGTGGGCTCCTGTCTTCCTTTGGTACTCAGTCTAATGAAATTGAATGTCATTTGATCACTGTGGCTTCTTGACATTGCTCCATCCTAGAGAATTTATGGTTTTTGGTGGGCAGCAGCTAGATGTGAGTTCTATCTCACATAACTCCTCCTGCTCACAGCCTGCTACAGCTGGCAAGGTTTTGTCTGGTGCCTGTGAACAGCACTGCTCATTTCAGGGAGAGGGATGGGAGGTGGTGGAAGAAGCAGCTCCCTTCTGGATCAACAGGTCAGTTTAGGGAACACTTAGTAGCCAGCATCTGTTTGAGTTACGTGAACAAGCAGAACCAAAAATACAGGTTGTGTTGGGGGATTTTAGAGGTCAAATTTCAACCTGAACAGTGACTGTGAAAATGAATAAATGAGTGCGAAAATGAGTAGGTGAGAGCTGACACGGTAACTGCAGCAGTGCAGCAAATCAGATTCACTAGATGTCTGTGGTTCTCCAGGCTCTTGTGGCATGATTTTAACCTTTTCCTTTGGCTGTTATTGTCATTTTGGTGTTACCAGGGCTAGTTCCAAACTAGAGAAATAACTTCTGTTTCCCACATGCAGATGTTTATTATGCAGTAAAAACCCTTGGAACAGGATTTCTTACGCAGATGATGACACTCAGCAGAGCTGCAAAAGAAGCGAGAGTGCTCCGTTCCCAATATGTCGGAATGAAGCATAAATATGGGGCTGCAAAGTGCCATAATGATGCAGAGCGAGGGGTCTCAGGTTGGATTGTGTTGACAGCATTCTTAAGATGAGGACTTCCAGCATTTCTACTACCGATGGCAACAAGTCATGATTATTTATTTTTTTTTCCTCTGGGGCAGGATTGTGTCTGAAGCAGATTGCTTCTTGGCAGAGGGAGGCTGGAGTCCCACTTCCCATAGATTGTGGAGGTAGAAAGAAATGCTTTGACTCCTCCAACAGCCTGGTGGGTGCAGTGGTACTGCAATCTACGGCCTGCTGCCTGTGTGCCAAAGATTAACTTCCTAGGGCACGTTGACAGCTACAGACAGATGCAAGCTTTTCTCTGCTCTCCAAGCTGGAGGTATGCAAGGCAGCTGAAAGCTATGCAGACGTGGTAGCGTGACACTGAGCCTTAGACTCTTCCTCGCCTCGGAGCAGAGATAACTAGCTAGGGCATGGCACTGTGCTGATACAATTTCAGTGCTTCCAGGCTGGAGTTGTTTGAGGTCAGACCATTTGAGACATGAGCAAAGCAATTACACACACCTGTCTGTAGGCATCTGTACCTTTACTGATGTTCAGGCAGCATGCTCTGCAGGGGGAAGGGGTAGCGTGAGGAGGGATGGATTGGGGAATTAGATCGTGTCTGTGGCCTGTCAAAGAAACTCAATATGTTCAGAAATAGGATGAACCATTGGAAAATATGTCCCTCTTGTTGTGATCTGTGGGTGTATACTGAAATTAAATAAGACCGAAAACAGTCTTGCAAATGTGTCTGTGCCTCCTACACTTGAGGCTCCTGTTTCTAGTTAATTAACATTTTTAGAGAGACTGCCTGTCCGTTTCAGTTGTCTCCTTGACTTGTCCGTCAGCAGCGAGTCCCCAGCTCAGTTCTAAGGTGCCACGCTGCCCTTGCTGGCTTCCCGGGCCCTTTGCCTGTGGAACGCTATGTTCTGTGTCCTCCGGCTGCTGAGCCTGCACATGGCCTGAGGCTGCTGATTGTATTCTCTTCCTAAGCCCAGAAACCGCCTTCTCATCCCTGGTTTCAAGCCCTTCCTGGTTGCTTGTCTAGCTTAGGCTTCTCTTGCAGACCTCTGCTGGAGTGCCTTCCCCAAATAAAAAAGTGAATGCCTTTGACTCTGCCTTGAGAGCACGTTACCTTTAGCTTTCATTCTCCTTTTACTCCTTTCTCCTTCTCTCTGCTGTATTGGGCAAAATTTTCAAAAGAGCTTCATGTGCTGTGCTTGGAAATCACAAGTGTGTTGGTAGCTGGGCATGTCTGGAAATACGGCTTGAATATAGGTTCCTGAGTTGCCTTTGAAAATCTGGCATTCTGCTCTTTCCATTATTGACAGGCTCGTTTGTCTCGTCTCAGGATGCTGCAGAGACGGAAGCATTTGCTTAGCTTCATGCCACTCTCTTTAATCTGACTGACTAAGAAAGACACTCCTTGGTAGTCTTGACTTCCACGGGACAGCTTGTACTTCGCAAAATTAGGCTTAAGGCTTTGGTACACTTGGTGCCTGTCTGCATGGTAGCATAAACAGCTCTGGTGCTCTGATGTTTCGCTGATGGTCAGTACCAGCTGAGTAAACCCTAGTGATTGACTTTGAAGCAAATTGAAAAATTGTGTAGCAGGTGGACAAAAGGAGCAAAAAAAAAAAATTGGTTGTCATGACTGAAGACTGTTTTTGCTCTCTAATGTTGAAAAGCCATTTTCTTTGAAGTAATATGGTCATGGATAGCAGAGGTGTACTTGTCTTGAAAAGTGTACAAAGTGCATGGAATACTATGTATGCGTGTCAGTTTCTAAATTCACCATGAATTGTAATAGTAATTTTTAGAAGTAGAGCTGAAATCCATGAAATAAGTGGCAGCAGTGGGAGAATTAACAGATTAGCCTTGATTTTTGGATTGTATTGGGAGAAATGCTTGAGTTCCTTCCCTTACTTTTTCACTGGAAAAGGAGTGGAGAGAGAGGAAAGCCATATTTTCTTTTTCCCATTTCACAAGGACAAGGAATTTCATGGCTCAGTAAATGAGGTTTGCTGCCTCGTGTTGTTCAGTGTCTCTGTGTCCGTCAATTTGGGTAATTTCTCAAGATCTTCTGATCTGATACCTGTCTTTGTTCTTGAAAGTACAGAAATGAACAAAGGTTTGGCTGTGCCCAGTGATAAACATCTCTGGTGTTGATCCACACCACGTAATATATCATGGTTAATGAAGAGGGACATCTACCCACCAAATACAACTGATGCCACGAGGCCAATAGCTTGCTTTGTTGTCAGAGCGCAAACCTGTGTTGGGAGTGTTTTGTGGAGGTTATTAGCATGTTTCTAGTTTGGGAGGGATGGAAAATCCTTCAGTAAATGGAAAAGTACCTGTCAATCTAAAGCCTCAGTGAGAGGCTCGGAGAGGCAATTCGTTCTCAGGGGCATTCCTTAATTAGGTGGTGGAAGAGGTGCATTTTTTCCGAGAGATGGCTTTGACTTTCCTTATCATAACTGCAAGCGGTTTATAGTAGAAAACACTGTATGCTAGTTGTTTTGTTATCTAAAGAGAAATATGTTAGGATGGGAATTTTAATGTTTGGGCTATGTGGAAATTAGTTGTGTTTTGTGTTTAAGCTTCATGAAAAGGTAATTAGTAATCAAGTCAGAGACTGTCCAGTCCACTTTGATCAGTGCAAATACAAATCCAATTAAATTCCTTATTGTTATCCATTTAATACAGCCTTCAGAAGCATCCTGAAATTTTGCTGCAGAAATAATAAATCAGATTTCTTACTGTTACCAAGCTGATTCATAGTAGGGAAGACACGACTGTTTTTATTCTGTATAGCTCTAAAACAGTTTTGAAAGAAATACTTGTGATAAATAAGCAAATAAGGTTTTTGCTCATCTGCTTCAGGCATATTTGATATTTGACTTTTCTGAAGGAGCTAATTTCTTAGCTGTAGAAGAAAAGGATATAATTAATCAGTTGGTTGAAATGTTTGGGCCTGTAATTTGGCTGGCATTTTAAACTTTGGCCTGCTGTCATGAAAGAATTTATATTAAGTCTGTGGTTCCAAAACAGATACATAAAAAATGAGTTCTCCATACGTATAAAACTTAAAAAGGCTTCTTTCGCCAAGTACTGTATGCTGCATGTCATGTAAGGCAGGAAGCCTAAGCTTGGAAGCAGATGAAATCCCGCAAGCTCAACTGGATGAAGTGGCAAGTACATGCAAAGTTTGTCAAACTGCAGGATAAACCCTGTTTATTAGCCACAAAGATGTCTGGTTGGAAAGCAGAAATCATATTGTGACTTAATGGTTGAGTTCTCAGGAGATAGTTTCAGGTATTTTTATACAGACTGCTAATTTACAGAGGTAACCACTTTTCAAAGTACTCTACCCTGGAATACTGTGCAATCCAGCCCTGGAATATTTCTGGGAAATGAAAAGCAAAAACCAAGACGAAACTTCTGAAGCATTTGTACATACCTTACAGTGTGTTCAAAGCCCTCCTTTTTTCCCCCTCCTTTTTTCCCCCTCCTTTTTTCCCCCTCCTTTTTTCCCCCTCCTTTTTTCCCCCTCCTTTTTTCCCCCTCCTTTTTTCCCCCTCCTTTTTTCCCCCTCCTTTTTTCCCCCTCCTTTTTTCCCCCTCCTTTTTTCCCCCTCCTTTTTTCCCCCTCCTTTTTTCCCCCTCCTTTTTTCCCCCTCCTTAAATGTTGGGGAAATGTAAAATGTTCTTTGTTCCCCCAACACAAGGCATGGGATGTTTTCCTGCCAGGCTTCTCCTCTGAATGCTGGTACCGCAGGCAGAGGAAGCAACTAGTTGCTGAACTGTTTCAGATGCAGCCTGTTTTATTATGTCTTCTTGACTAAAAACTGGTCTTGAAGACTGAGCAAGGTTTGGTTTTTTTATTCAATGCTAGGTGAATCTCCTTGCTGAGGATTATAACATCATCTGAATGAAAAATGCCTTGTTACCCTGAGCATGGGGAGGATGTCTGTATTCCTGTGGTAAGCCAGCAGCTACTTTGGGACAAAGGAATCTGTTACAGAGAACACAGGTGGTTAGCATTCAGTGTGAGCTCACTTTGGCTTTGTGGAATAAAGTCATCCTTCCAACCACTAGAACTGTTTTTAAACCTTAAAGTACTTCTCTAAGGAAAAGCCAATTACTTAACAACAGTCTTATAGCATTAACACCATCAACCTATAAGGCTGATAAATAAAGAAAAAAAGTACTAGAAATGCATGGCTGCCCTCATGTTGATGGACACTGTTTGTGATTAGATCAGTGAGGAAAACCTTTAGGGCCTGAGGTCTTCTGTCTGAAAGTGCTGTTGCACAAAAACCCAAGAACTCTGCATATGTGAGAGTTTCAGTGAAATTTTGTTCTGATAGAGAGTAGAAATTAATCTTTCCAAGTGTTAAGGCATCCTGTTTTGGCATAAAGGGAAATAAATACTGAATTGTTTTCCAAATTTTGCTTTTGTTAATATGTCAACTTAAGACTTTGGTGGGTGCAAATTACTTGTGTTTTCAGGGTGGAGGAGAGGAGCAAAGAATTTTGCAGGTTTTGAGTTCCATTCCAGAAGCAGTGTGTGAGGCCAAGCTTGTGTTCACTGACTGGGTCTCTATAAACACAGCATCTGTGAAGTTCATGCAATTTTTTCTTTACAAAAAAACTGCAAACAAACAGAAAAACCAACAAAAACCTGCATGAAAGAAAATTGACCTTGGTCATACTTTGATATTACTCAGTTCAGTGTGGGAAACTTTTATCCATACTTAAATTCTAGAAGATTGTACAGTATAACAAGGCTATTCTCTAACATCAGGCCAAGTTTAGGCTTATTATGGAGTGTAACACTGCCCTGAACAGCCTTTTTTCCATAAGCAGGACTCCTCGCTCTAGACTTAGTACAGAGTTGTCATCTGACAAAAGATACAAAATTGAGCTTTTCATAAAATGTATCCACAAAAAGTACTGTAGTACTGTTACTCTAACAACACCTGTGTTTCATGAGACTCCTTGTTTTACTGCTCTTGCTTGCTTCTTTTTGAAGGTTTTCATGGGAGGGGAAGCTAAAGCAGAGTACGAGGTGGGGTTTGGGAAGCAGAGATAACATCCAGAAAGAGCATGGAAGCAAGAGATCTGGTAGAGCTGCAGTTAAAGCAGATATAGCTATGTACCAGGTGGGAATAAACATGCTCCAATGCTGTTAGCTATGACCACTGCTGATTCTGCTCAGGAAAACAGTTACAACATAAAGGTGAGCATGAAACAGTGCCAGTGGTGACCAAGGTGAGCCTCAGGAGAAAGGTGCAGGTTCCCTGAGGAAAATTGAGGGGTTTGGAGGATTCTGTGTCTTTGAAGAAAAATAAGACTAAATTTTAGATCCCACTGCTTGCTCACCCACGTAAGTAAGTTGGCAGCAATATAGAAAACCGTATACATATGTTTTTTCTTCTCTTGTTTTTCCTAGACACTAGAAACGACATGCAGAAGGAAAGTAACTTGAAAGAGCTCCTTAAAGAACTGCCTGATGCTCATTACTGCCTGCTGAAGTATCTGTGCCAGTTCCTGATAAAGGTTGCTGAACATCATGTAGAGAACAGGATGAACCTTTGCAATCTTGCCACAGTATTTGGACCAAACTGCTTTCAGTAAGTTGGAATTTTCACTTTTCCCCTTATGTTGACGGAGAGTGTAAGGGAGCAGATGGCCAGAAATGTGGCTCAGAACCCTAATTGTCAGGGTGATCAAACGGAGGCCATGACTGGGGCTGTATGATAAATTTTAGTGCTAAAGCTATTGTTTGAACTGAGTGGGAGTTGAGTTGCTCTCCCATCTCCTCTTGCTATTTTGCTAAACAGTTGGTCAGTTTTCTATTGCTGTGTCGACAGCAGAGCAGGAGTAGAACAATGAAAGGCCTTCAGACTGTGTAAGTGCAAGGAGACTTGTGCTCATACAACTTTCTTCCTTTGCCATCAAATAATATGGATGCTTCCCTGCAGTAGGCTTTGAGAAAGGGTACGTGGGGGAAAAGGACTCCTATGCAGCACCCAGGTGCTGTGTAATTTCTAGAGATGGATACTGCATACTCTCTGCAGATTTGGCCTTGTGATCTAGTGTCTGTCCTCAAGATGCTGATGATTCTGGGCTCTTTATCCTTCTAGTATATTTAGAAACTGGTCTGAAGGTTATGGGGTTCCCGGTCTCTTGAGACTTCTTACTGGACTCACTAGTTTTACTGGTTTCTTTCATTGGGCCCAGTTCCTTGGTGCTTGTGGTGAAGATAGCATGTTGTACGTGCTAGTGGAGCTTGCAGCAGTAGCAAGAAGAGTTATTTCCAGGTGTGAGAACACACTTGAGTAAGAATGTTTCTGTTGAGTCACTGCTGTGATGCAGTGCACCCTTAGGGTCTTCACCCCAGTCTTGTCTGTAATACACCCACTGGCTGGCAGCCAAGATCTAAGACATGGGAGACAGGTAGGGAGTTTAGTTCAGTCATCAGTCATGAAAAATGTGTGGTATCAGCGGAAAGAAACAAGTGAGTACCTTGTAGCAAGTGTTGGATTGGTACTGGTCCTTTTAAAATTTCACTCTGGAATAATACTGAGTTGCATAATGAGACTTAGATTAGATTAGTTGCCTAATGAGACTTTCTCCATAGGCTTCCTCTGTAGCCAGTGGAAAGAAGTAGACTTCTTTAAGCGAAGAAAACAGAAATTAGGCTCCTTCTAATGTATTGAGCTGCTTCCACATATCTAGGCTAGATGTTGCCTGCTCACTTTTTAAAAGAGAGTATCTTTTTCCATTGATTAGGGAGTGAACACATGGAGATGCTGTTAGCTATGACCACTGCTGATTCTGCTCAGGAAAACAGAGATGAGACTTTTAAACCAAAGCTTGTCCTTGTCACTACACTGCTGCCTCATCTTAAGATGTTGCTCATGGATGGTGAAGGTGAATATGTCAGGATTAAAACATTTGCTGTGTCAGTACAAAAAGATAAAGCATGTTTTGAAAAGAATTTTCTTCCTCTCCAAAAGAAAGAAAGCTGAAAAGACGGTAGTATGTGCAGGAACGCATGAATATGAGTGTTAGTGGAAGTACAATACTGCAAATTTTTGGCAAGGAAAACCAAAACAATTTTTAAAGATTACATTTGTATGGGCAGTTTGGGAAATTCCATCTAAATCTATTAGTAGAGTTAAGAGCAAACAAAATAAATTAGAAGATCTGAGTCCAATGGCTAAATCTCTATTACTCAAACTCCCAAGTGGCTATTAGAATAATTTTTAGTTTACTCATCACTTCATTCAGGAAAGTTTGAAAATTCACTCTGCATACTTTTTGGTGTATAATGCAGAGTGTTGCAGTTTGGAATTGCAATTGGCATTCCTTAAGATTAAACCAAAGCATACCTCTTAAAAGCTGCATGCTTGTTGCCTCAACTGATCTCTGCTCCTAAGATGGCGTAGAAAAAATGTAACAGTTTTTGTAAGGTGTAAGGCCTGCACATAAGAGGGGCAGAATCACATCATTCCGTTGCAGAAGACTGAGAAAGGCAGAGTTCATTGGAGATGAAAACACAAGGCTCGTGTCTGTATGAATGCAGCCAGCTCTGCAGTTGTGGCATGCGTTGAAATAAATGCTCATGTAGCAAAAGAGGCAGTGAAAGCAAGGCTTGACACTTAACAAATGGCTAATGCATTTTTTAGAAAACCCAAATATGCAGAATTATGGATGTAGGTTTATATTTGAACTAAATTTCACCATCTGTTTATTCAGCTGTGTGTTTCATCAGACCTTGATCTTCAGGGTAGTTCAGGATTCTGGTCCAGACGCAAAGATTGTGAGCAACAGTCCAAATACCTTTTTCTCCTGTGTTAATAGATGCTGGAACTCTGACCATCTGTATCAAGAAAGATTTAACAGGAGGAGGAAAGAACTTGCAGTGCTGAACTTTAGGCATTGAGCTTAGCCAGCTGGTTGGCCAAGCAGCCAGAGAGAGATCCGCAGAACACAATTCGGAGCTCTGGAGTAAGGCTCCCTGAAGCCTGCTTGGCAAGGACTGTTTTACTACTGGCTACAGGCAGCCCCTAGTGAGACTAGCAGCACAAATTAAATATCAGCAGTTGGTTGAAGCGAACACTTCTCTCACTTTGCATGACTTGTTCAGAGCAGTGTATGGGGTATTTCTCTGGGAGAAGGAAAGAAGGCTTAGCATCCAGCTTGTCAGCAATTACACTGCTGAAGGAGGAAGATCTGAGATTTTTCCATCAGAAATTCATACTTATGTCTAAAATCAGTGTCAGAGTCTATGTAGTTAATGCACAGTGTCAGAGGAGATAAAGCCCATCTGCTGATAGTGAAGGATTGCTTTCTGCAAGGTATTTTTAGTGACATTTTAGTTATTTAGACATATCTCCTACTCCATAACTGAAGCTGTTTAAGAATTGAATAAATCTCATTGTTGGGCCACTTTCGAGGCATTCAGGCTTTGTTTTAATTCTCTTTGGCTCATTCTATTTTTCTACATCATGTTCTCAGTAGTTTATCTCATCTCCTAAACTTTCAACCCTTACTGCTTTTATCTTATCCACTACTTCCCCTGCTTCCTTACTTGCTGTTTGATGGACTGCGCTAGTGCTTTTCTAATGAATGGTTATCTTGTGCTTTCTGTATTTCTAATTAATAGAAGAGAGGAGAAAATGGCTAGTTGCATTCCTTGTAATGAAGTGTGATGTAAGATACAGGAAAATGTAAAGGGCAAGGTCAACAGCTCAAAAAAGGAAAGTATGATGGTTTGAGATTTAGTGCGCTGTTTTCTTCCAACTTGGATTGTTCAGATTTATTGTGGTGGAAACCAAAGGTCAAGTATAGAGAGAAATACAGCCCTTGAGGAACAACGAGCATGAAGGTATAGGAACATAAATAGTTCTCTTTTCTGTCACTGGGCTAATCTGTGGAGTTTTAACACTTGCAGCGCGGTTATTCTTGGAGGAAGTTATTGTCCATTGTCCTGACTGTATTTCAGCTCCTGTAGAGCTGTTGCCTTAGTTGTGGCCTGCTGTGTGTCTCTGCTTGGCTCTCAGCTTGTGCTGAAGAGGAAGGAGAGGACCAGCTGGGATTTCTCTCCTCCTCTCTGCTCTCTTGGAGCTGCCTATCAGAGAGGCTGCTGTACTTGTCCTGTCCTTTGGTTGGGATGGTAAGAGACGTGAGGTCTACCAGTTACAGAGTAAGCAGAGTATCCATTTGCACCCTTTTTTGCAGCTCTCTCTCAAAGAATGATCTCTGTGTGTGGCCTCTGTCATTTAAGCCCTCACTTACCTGGCTGTGTTTTGTTCCAACAGAGATTAAGCATGTTGTGAGGGATTGCTCCATCCCCTCCAAAAGTGACTGACAAATGTAGATATCCAGTTAAAATGCTAGAGTTAGATGCAGTTATTTCTGTATGATGACTACATAATAGTCATACAAAGCTGGAATTTCCTGATGAAAAATGAAGCTTTTGCTGGAGAAAAATATTTTTCATATAGCTGAAACCAGTCAGTAAAATCTTTGTGGCAGCATTACTCTAACTACTTTGCCTTACCTGCATTACCTGCATTTTGCATCGTGCATCTACTGGCAAGCAATATAGACAGAGATGGAATTACTGAGTCGATTTAGACTCCTAAATCTGGTGTTACAGAAAATAATTTAGACCAGATTTTAAAAGGTGGGCAGTGAGATACCTCGTGGGATTCTCCAGTGTCTCAGAAGCTAAGGCACTTCTGTAAAATCTCAGTAGTGACATATGTCCTTGTGTTTGGTCCAAACTGTTGAGACATAAGTTTATAAATGATGTAGAGCACGTAAATGACTCGCACGTACTGAGATGAACACCTTCCTCAGCTTAGTGTTGCTGTGTCTTCTGATCTTGCAGCAGTCTGCAGACACAAATCTCTGCCTGTTTTCAGCTGCACCAGTTTGTGGTCCAGTGTGTTAAGACAAATCACTTTGATCAGCTGAAGTACAGGGCCGAGCTGTGGCCGTGAAATCACATCTGTTCCAGACACAGTAACATCTGTCTAGAGGGACAGAGCAGACTGCCTGAAATTGTAAGCTCTTAAAATAGCTACAGCTCTGCTCTCGTGCTTGTTGAGGGGCTCATGAGCATCTGAGGTACTAATGAACTTGTTTTGCGAGGGCTGGAGAACAAAAAACCCATGTAGTGTTCCCTGTCCTCTGAGTCCCTTCATTTCTTGCAGGATCCCCTAGGAGAATGGTAGGGTGGCTTTGTGGTGCTCCTGTACAAAAGGTACTGTACAAACAGCAAAAGTAGCAGTCAGAGAAGACAGAGCATGTAACCCTCAGTGGTTTGTAAATCTGGATTATGGTGCTGTCATTCCACAGCTACTTCTGCAAAGCCACTTAAGGAAACGGTAATGTGCATTCTTCATCTCAGACAGAGTGGGGTCAAACACTGTCAGGAATTTGAAATGAGACGCACCATTTCACATAGAAATCGCTGGTTCTCAGTTGTGACAGGGAACTGTCAGCAGTTCCTGCATGAGGAAATCGGTCCAGTGATCTCTGTCCAGCTTATTACAGGCGGATGACTACATCCCAAGTCCTCCTGGCTCTCGCTACCACTTGAAGCAGATTTCTCAGGTGTGGTGTGTGGTGACAGAGCCTTGTAGTGATGCCTTGCTAGATGCAGTTGTGTTTGGATGTTACTGCACCATCCTCAGTAGGGTCTGGAGATTCACTCTCTCAGAAGCCCACTCTGCATTTACCCTGTTACAGCTTGTTTACAGGGACCCTGAGGTAAATTCATTTAACTAACATGTGAAATGTAATTCATTCACAGTGAGTTAATCTGACCTCAGGTCATTTCAGTTCTGAGTAAGCGTTGTAACACAGGGCTTTGATGTGGTTTAACCCGTTTGAGACTAGCTTTCTTGAGCATCGCCATGGAAGCAGACACACTTTTGGCTTAAAGAGGTCTGGAAGAACTAAAAGAACAAGTGAGCACTGGACTGCATGGACGTAAGTGGCACAGAGCTGCTGTGGGTGGGCCAGCTATGCTGGTAGAAGATTGTAAAGAAGTGTGAAATACTGCTGGGTGTCATATTTTGAAATGAAGGACTAACAACTTGATCTTACTCCCAAGTAATGTTTTAGCTTTGAGAACTACTGCTTTTTCTGCTTTAAAGTGGCTTCACCAATAATTTCAGTCTTTAATATCCTGTAGAACTTGTGGTTCTAATGCACCTTTGCCTGAGGCCCTCCTAGACTGAGTCAGATACTGTTAATACTGGTGCCTCATTTAGACAAAGCATATTTTTTCCAAATACTTAATGTGGAGCCACTGTGCTTTGTGCACAGATCAATCTGAGCATCTCTCTGGGAAGGGCAGGGTGTCTGAGGAATCTAAGGGGGGACACTAGAGAATTTGCTTCTGTCACTGCCTATGCTCTGTATCTGTTCATGACTTTGAAAGATATTGCAAGAATCTAGTGGGAGTTTCCCAGCTCAAATCTTAGAGATAGACCTAAATCCATCAACATTTTTTTCTTCTAGAAATGACCATAGAAATTGCAGGTTTATGCCTCCCTTCTAGAAAATGTGTTTCTGGTAGCGAAGCTAATGTTCCGCTGCTGTTTCTGGTGCTGCTGGTGCATACATGGCTATAGGGTGATCAAGTCCACCAGTTGAGGATTTTGTAACCTGAGTAAGGTGTGAATCTAACTCTATAAGCAACTGGCTAATTAACATGCAAATTGTACATAAAGGAACCATAATTATGAACACAATTTTGCTAAAATGTTTCAATAAGATCTTCACAAAAGAGTTTGAAAAATTTCCAAGGAGTAGGGTGTGGATCATGAAAGTGGTAGTGTGAGGAATAATTTCTCGTGGGACGGAGTTTTTCTAGTTAGTTGAAGTGGAATTTGTGGATATTAGGACTTTCAGACTAAGAAAAGCTGAAGATATTATTTTTTTTCACACATTTTCGGAGAAGTCTAGTCAGAGTGGTGGATCATGCAGTGTGGCAACAGATGGGTTTTAACTTGTATAAATATGCAAGTGCTCATAATCTAAACTTCTTACATATGCTCAGCCGAAGATCTATTGCAAGGAAAAGGTCACCATGGATAGCTCAAAGAGTCTAATAGTCCTTGCCATGGTGGATGTCTAATAACAACAATTAAAAGAAAAAATAAATAAGAAACTTTGTAAAATAGGCTTGTTTAAGTGGCAGAGAGATGGCAATGGCTAATGTATGTTACACTGCCATTAAAATGAAACAATTTATGCTGCTCTACTTGGTTACATTCAGAGACAGGTGATAAAAAAGACTAAAGCCATGAGCTGTAGTGTTGTGTTCTGTGTATGTGTCTCGCCATACACGTACAGAATTGTTCAGAACAAGATATTAGACTTTTCACAGGTATGATTTAATAAAGTTTAACTGACAAAGTAACATGGGGAAGGGAGGGCAAGAAAGCATGGAATTGTGCAGAAATTAAATACTGTTTCTGTGCTTTGTGGAAATTTTATAGGCTGGGCTGTTTTTCAGCCAGGAAGCATTTTTTTATATTAGCTTTTGCCAGTAGGGAGGTGTTGGCTGAAGTTCCCAGCAGATGTGGTTTAGGTCAAGGTTCTGCTCTAAAAATCCTTGAAGCTATTTGGAGTCTTTATTTTGACTTGAACTTGCTCGAGTACATTTTAAGTCCATTTCCTAGGAATGAGGTACAGGGGTGCCAGGATTATTTCAGTGGTATGCTGTTTTGGAGAAGTACGTCGGGAGGGTAACAGTCAAGATTTACCTGAATTACCAAGCAAGCTCTGCACCGTGCCAACTCTGGAGCACGTTACTTAGCACAGGAAGAGCGATTTCCTTAAATCAAGATGATTGCATGGGTCTATTGCATATGTACACTTTCTTTTATTCTGACCAGTTACTATCATTTAGTGAATATGTGACGTTCTTTAAACTGAATTGGCCCATGTATACATGCACATCCGTCAATAGAAGTTGTTGCATTTTTTCTTTATTTAGTCTGAGGCCAGGTTCCACACCAATGAAATCAGTGGGTTTATTTAAGGCAGCTGAGACTGACCCGTTTTACAATTGACAATGTTCTGTAGTGTAAAATAACCCAATTCCTTTAAACTTCAGGTCCTGTGACTCTAGCATGTATTGAATGTTGGAATGTCAGCAGTAAAGATTCTCCTGTGGAGTTTACAAAGATGCGTTCCGCTGCAGTGGGATCTTCTCCCTGTTGACATGTAGATGGACTACAGAGAGTAAAATACTGAGAAGGATCATAACGTGCAACCCCTACAAGAAGACACTTTTTGATGGCAAATTTCTGGGGGCATCTGCTCTCAGAACTGCCTTCTTGAAATGCACATCTGGCCCCAGTAAACTATAGTTACAGTTATACAGTAGATAGTTATTTGTAAATTTTAATTTACTGGTTATAGTAAACAATACAGTACACAATTACTTCCAAGTTACATCCCTGTAAAATATCTCAGATGGCATTTGTTTAACTTTTGGCGGTTGGGTTGTTTTTTCCTCTTGTACAACCACTATTTGTCCTCAGCCAAAAAATATTTGAAACTTTTTTTGTTTCTGGTTATTGCTCCCCTACTTCTTCCCTTTAAATCTTTCCTGTGTTTTCAGTATCTCCTGATCTGCAGCCTCTGACACTTTATAAGGTCCTTAGAAAATTCACATCCATGCAACCACTTTGTGGATTTTTCAGAGGAGACTGCATCTGTTGGAAATACTGCACAGTGGGAGACACTGAATGATTGGAGAAGTATTTTAAAATGCTGAAGAAGATTCTTCAGAGATCTTACTTTTGCATGAAAACAGAATTTAAGTAGGTTTTGGACACCAAAGTCCAATAAAATGTGCATAAAGCCTACATTCCAGCAGATGAAAATTAGATGCTTCAATTAGTTGTGTGCTCTGTTGTGAGTAACACATAAGGAAGGCAAAGGAGCATAGACTGGAATACAACGCTTCTTCCAAATCAGTATCTTGCCTTTTCTTTTGTGTGTCCCCTTAAGGTCTGTGACAAGCAATTCCCGGCTGCATAGGGGCCTGTTTCAAGAGAGCAAGAAGGTGCTGCTTCTGCAGCCGAGTGGTTGGTGGTTCTCCCAGAGAGTGGAGGTTAAAACCATCTTTTTATATGAATCTTTCAGGCTGTTCTGCAGAAGGCAACCTCTATCTCCATGTTTTAAAAAAGCCCTGTGAGTTGTGAGCCTACCTTCAAGAGAAATGACAACTCAGAAACTAGATTAAGAAATCTGATATACAGCATAGAATCACCTGAAACTGCGAAGATCTTGCTTAACTTTTACTTTTAGTGTTCTGCTCAGCATGTGGGCTTTCTTAATTTTTTGACTCATCCTTCTTGTATACCACTGAGGTCATCACAAACCACTTTTTGGAGGAATCTGACTTCCCATTAACAGTTCAGAGCACTTAAATGCCTCGTGCTGTCTGTGTTGCAGTCATGAACCCAACTTTTAGCAAAATTGGTGGTATCTCATTTGGTGGTTGCCTCAATTAGATCTATACCTAGATTCTGTGGAGTAGATAGTTTAATTAATAGATATGGTATTTAATATCAGTAAGAAAAACTGCAAACAAACCGTCATAGTTGTTACCACCATCGACACAATCCTCCTTTCCAAGATAAAATTTTCTATGCCTGCTAGCCAGCCTGTATCCACAATCGAAATGTTAGAGACTCCATATAGTTTAACTAATAGATATGGTATTTAGTATCAGTAAGAAAAAACTGCAAACAAACCGTCATAGTTGTTACCACCATCGACACAATCCTCCTTTCCAAGATAAAATTTTCTATGCCTGCTAGCCAGCCTGTATCCACAATCGAAATGTTAGAGACTCCATGCAGGAACTTTTGTACGTTGAGTACCTATAACACTCTGCTTTGTGTTCTGTCCAATTTTAGCGTGCCGTCTGGATTTGAAGGTATAAAAGAACAGGAGATCTGCAACAAGATAATGACAAAAATGCTGGAAAATTACAATACCTTGTTTGAATTGGAAGGTTTGAAGAAGGATGAAGAAAAGCCTGTGTGTGAAGAGCTAGCAAGAATTATTTTGGTAAAAGTGAGTATCTCTAATATTTCATTTTATTATAGCAAATCAATAATGCAGACTTACTACAGGCTTCAACTCAGAAATCTTTTAGGTAAGTGGGAGGCAGGCACTGTTGTAATAATGTTCTATGTTATTGATTGGTATACAGTTTACAAATCGACTCTGCTGATAGGCTGATTTTCATTACTAGTCTGGAAGTTGATTCTGTTGAACATCTTTATTTGTTAGCTACTCACTGCTATTTATATAGCAACTGTATCTGCTAAAAACTAAATGATTTTAAATGGGGAGGCAGAATAATTCTAGGAAGTGTTCAAGTTTTCTGATGTGGTGATCGTTTATGGTGTACATCAGTGATGATGAACTTACATACTTCAGGACAGTATGAGGTCTGTAGCCTTTTCCAGTATGAAGTCTGCTTGTCTTGAACACATACCTGAATTTTAAAATTGCATGTTCTGAATCAGAACAGCCATTTCTGAGTGCACTTGAAGACAGGCATTGAATAGTAGTTACTGTTTGAAGAAAGTATATTGGAGCTGTTAAATAAAAGTGATATAGTTAGACTATAATATCTTTGGGGGGAAGAGGGCATGTGTGTAACATCAGACGATTCTAATGTTCAGAAAAAGTTGACAAGAATAAGTAGGGCAGCCAGAAGTGCCTTGTTCTGGCTTGTGCCGTCTCTACTACAGGAAGCAACCTGAGGTCTGTGCAGGAAATGACTGTGAGGATGGTTTTCAGTCGCCTTATTTCCTTTCGTGTGTTAGCTGTGCAGAAAATTACTCCCTTCCAAAGTGTGAGCTTTTGAGTTTGAGAGAGTTGAACTACATGCCTTCCCTTGGTGGGGTTTTGTGAGCACCACTGATAAAATCACCGTATCCTTCACTGGCTGGAATGGAAACGTTAGAAAATAAGTTATAAAAATATGGTGTCTTTGACCTTGCCAGAACAAGAAGTTTGGTGGGAGCTCAAGTTCTGCCAGTCAAATGAAATCAGCTGAAAACATCTCTGTCTTTGCAGTGTATCACAGGAGGGTCTATTGAATCTGAGCTACAGGGCAATCTCTACAAGTCAGACCCAGCTGCCTTTAGAAAGGTTGGTTGTTTTCCTATGTGGTGAATCCGTGAGGAAGTCTTCAGCTGTTTATTCTTTTAGCTGTTGCTAACATTCACCTAAAATGCTTCTGTGGAAGGAGATAGAGTGACTGATGACTTGCAGTGTCCTCCCTAATACGTGTTACTGAAGTCACAGTAACTTCTGGGTGAAGGAAAGTGGCAGATGAGAGTGATGTTTAGCAGCTGATGGTTACTTTGGTAACAAAAACAGGTTAAGAAGAACGTAATTGTAAAAAGACGAAGTACTTTAAAGAGCCCAGAAAAAAGACTTCAGGTATGTCTCCCATCTCCTTCAAACCTCAGCCAGTTGTAAAAGCCAGGGTAGCCTTTCACTTTTAAGGACTTACTAGTAATTGGGTATGCACAAAGGTGGAGACCTGGCAGATTTCCCACAGCACTTCAGAGGTCTGAGCTATCAAAGTATATGGTGACAACCAGAATTACTCCAACAAAATAGCTTGAAAGATATAGTTACTCAAGTGAGATGAAAAATGTTGCCCATTGCTTTGCCTCAGGAGACAGATGACTGCCTGAGAGGAATGAGCCATGACTAAGCATGAGGGCTTACATTGTGTTTGTGTCTTTGAATCTTGTCGATAGCTTCCAAATTCTGCTGGCAGTCAGCTGCAAAAATTTGACTTTGTTTCTTGTCCGTCTAATTTGGGTGGGAAGTCTCCTAGCTTAACCAAGACAAATACTCAAACACAAGGAATACAAGCATCTAACTTCATGTAGCAAAGCTACGTAAGAAGTTCTTGTTGAGATTTGGCAGGTGGCTCTTTGAAAGCATGCTTTATATTTTCCCAAAGGTTACTTTTCTTGTGTCCTAGCAGATATCCTCTATCATAGCCAATTTGTATAATAAATTAGAGGTGGTGCACTCAAAGATGTGTGGTAATAAATGAGATTCAGTAGACAAAAGTAATTGCCAGTTTGCTAATGCATGAACTGTTACACACAGTAGGAGCTAGCTGCTCCACATCATAAAAGAAAAAATGCCTCGGAGAACTACTTGGCATGACCTGGGTCACAGTCAAGTCATCACAGAAAATCGCACGCCATTTGTAAGCAAAGTTACTGCTTCTTGAAAAGCCATTGATAAATTCATATCTACAGGTAGCTAAAGAGAGATTTGCCAAGTAATCTTGTTGGAAGGAGTGAAAAATGTAGGATGCTCAAGAGAACACTGTCATAACTGAGGCCCTGTTGATTTTAAAGGCATTGCATTCAAGAATGAACCATGGTGGAACGGGGGAGCAGACAGCAAGGAAAGGGAAGCAAATGAGGACCTGCCCTTTACCAAACTCAGCTGCATTTATCTAAATGACTTTTTTAGCTTTTATGTTGTAAGCAGCAAGAGAGTGAGGAGGGGAGGTTTAGATGACCTCAGTCGCTTCCTTCTGGGATATTTCTGTCATCCCCTTGCCCAGATCACTCTCTGTATTGCCAATGTTTCACCCAGAGTCACTACACTGCTGCCTTTCCCATGATTGGCTTTGTTCCCTGTCCTTTCTCTCTTTTCCATGTTTACATTTTTCTCCCGAATTCCCACAGCCCTGCCCCACTATTCTTCCTGTACTCAAGTCTGATAGCCCTTCATTCCCACTCCAGAGAAAAGGCTGGCAGTCTGTAGTGAAGTGCCAAAGCTCCAGCACTCTTCATATATGGCCTTCCTTCACCTCCAGTCACTGTGCACACATGCTGTAGCCCCTCCACGGCCGGTATTTCTCTGCCATCCTTTCTTTTATGTTCTTGAATGTGGAGATAACTTTACCTCTAGGTTAGTAGAGTGCTTGTGGTGATGTGACCCGCCTTATGTGTTCTCCTGGGTGTGTAGTTTGGGGCTAGGGCTTGTTGAGACACTTTTCCTAGTCAAGCATTAATGCCTCCTTTTGGTTGGAATGCTGCTGTTAGTCTTACCCAAAGGTAAGGTTCCCAAAATGGGAGTGAAGGTACTTAGAGGAAGAAATTAGTTTTTACATGGTGTTAAGAGATTAACCTCATGATGCTCGAAGCCATCGGTGCTGATCCAGGTGTTTCTTGATTAGGAGTTTGCAAAGAGCGCCTATAAGCATGAAACTTCTTATACAGGGATAAGAATGCCACAAATTTGCAGAAGGACTAACTTGAATCAAAATTTGAAACTAAATGATAGTGATTTAAAAAAAACAATGAAAGACATCAAAAAGTATAACATCAAAGAATGCACTTCTCTGTGCTCTAGAATGCCTTTCCAGCTTACTGCATTACAAAATTAGCCTTGCTTTTTCTTATCTCTTTTTTTTTAAGTTCTTTCTTTGGTGATGAAATCTCAACTGGAGAAACAGGAACATATCTTTAGTGTCTAAAGGTACTGATAGAATATTATTTCTGCCTGCAGCCTTTGGTCGTTCATGGCTTAGGTGCCTGTTGCTTCATATTATCCACTCATAATCATCTTTTTTGAAACTGACATAAACCCTAAATCATTAATTTTGAGCAAATACCCAGAAACTGGGTATTTAGGGAGTAGTGGCTTATGCCATCCCATCCCAATATGGGAATGTACCTCCTCTCATATGCCCAGAGATGTTTGCCATCGTCCCAAACTTGACTCCTGACCTCTCATGGTCTGCGTATCTTAAGATTTTGCCACACTTTGGCCATAAAATCCATGGATTCTTGAAAGGAGGAAGTGCTGCTCTTTTAAAATGAAAACAACAATATGTGGATCATTCAGATAAAGTCATGAAAGCATCAAGCTTCTCTTTGAGCACTGCATTGGAAAGAAAAAACAGCTCACATGGAGCTGGTTGCATCCTGTCTACCATGTTGGTCGTAACTAGGGGAAATCCACAGTGCTACAGACTTCCAGAAGGAGTAGGAACATTTCAACCAGGTACAGATTGCAGCAGCTCAAAGAAAATCTGTTTTAAGGAAACCAAAAGTTAATAAATTTTAGAGATGGGGGAAAAAGAGACGTGATTCTGTAGGGCTGTTGGTAGCTGAACTGCCATTCTCGCTCTGTGTGTGCAATGAGGAGGCACAGGAACACCTTCACCCCAGTTACATTTCTTCCTTCAAAGATTGCTCAGTCATTGGTAAAGACAAGTTGTGCCAGGTAAAGGGATTTCTTAGCTTGCTTTCTCAGTGGATCATAATTCAGAAAGTAAGGGAGCCAGAAATCTCTGCAAGCTGCATTCCAGTCCCTGCTTTTTTCCCAGAACCGTAAATCCTCCTCTTGCTCATTGCTCAGCATATGGTAGGATTATAGTTAGAAATGGTGGGGAGGTTTTCTTTGGAAACTTCCATGTTAAAAAAAAAAGTGCCATTTTCACAAAATAGAAAATTTGTCTTAGAACAGTTTCTGTTTCAATGGGAAATTGTACTGTCAGGTTCCTGATGCCTTGCGTGGAAGGACTTCATTAGTTTCTCACTCCACCTATTAGAATGAGATCTATACAGTCTTCCAAGGAGGTGGCCAGCAGGTGGAAGTATAAGATGTATTTTCTTCAGAAATACATCTATATAAAAATATATATGTATTTGGAAATTCCTTCCCATAAAAGAATTATGGGGTTGATTTTTTTTTTTTTATTCCAATTGAAGTTGAGGTTTGTTGGAGTTTACAGGTCTCATTTGCAGCCAGCTATCACTGCAATCCTTAAGACTCTTACCCACACTTCTGTTTAATTTCCTAACCCGGTGAAGGTCTGGAAGAGCCCCAGTCTGTTGATCAATAGGCTCTGCTAGTTAGAGAGAAATGGATGAGAAGTGGGTTGAGTGTTCTGATGAGCCTATCTGGTCTGTGTTGTATTTTACAGATTTTCAGGATCATAAATAGTCATTTTTTATTGGGCAGTGTTACGTGTGAACAATTAATTCTCTGACAGTGTGTCTGTACTGCTGTGC